AGCTTTCTAAAAATATTTTTTCACAGAAGATATTTACATCATTCGCCTGTAATTCACACATAACAGCAAATTACTGTAAAATAAATGTGTTATTACAGCAGTTTTTATTAGTGTAAGAAGTGTAATACAGCTAATCTGTTCTCTGGAAAATTCTAGAATTACTGAACTGAATTATTTAGATATAAAGGAAGATAAATCAACTGAAGTGAGGACATGTTTGTGCCCAGGTGTGTTTGTAATGAACATCCCCTCAGTGTTTTCTCACCGTGTGTCGTCCTATCATTTCTTATCTGTCACTTCATATTAAACTCTCTGCTTCCTGCTCTCTGACGGGTTCATCTTCCTTTGAATTTATTCTTTCTTTCTTTTTGCTGTGTGTTGTTTTATTGCCACCTGTGAATTTGATGTGTATTTTTTCTGATTTCTCTTTCATGTCCATCAGCCTTTGTGAGCAGGAGACAAATATCACGTTACTGTTTGTGTTTCTGTCACCAGTATTACTGTGAATAGCACAGAGTCGGTGTCCTGCAAACACACTCCTTTCACTTACATTCAAATATTAGCCGTAGCTGTGGGTAAATATTTGGAAACCACGCCCCTGTCCTGCGAAAAGACTAACGTCAGACTTTAATGACACATTTAGAAAATACAAAACTATATTTGGTTCGTAGAAAATCATTCTCACAATTTTGTTTTCAATTCTTTTGTGTAGAAATATATTTCAAAACATGAAAAACAAACGTAAAACTTACAAAACTGAGTAAATGGGCAGTGTGAATGGTGGGAATTTGTGAGGAAAGCTTTTATGTATCAAAGCTCTCACAAGAAAATATGTGGCCTTATAATGTTTAAAAACATGGAATTAATTTTGGGGTTAACATAACAATTATTTAATACATAAAATAATTGTTTTTTTTATTAAACGTAAAGAATACTTTAACTCTTCGGTTCATCAAAACAGCAGCTTGGGGTTTGCAGGAGACAGACTCGCTCTCCTGAAGACTAAACAGATGATTTTCTGTGTTAAATTTAAAAATGCTCAGCATCGCATTGCTTACTCAGCAAGGCATTCTGGGTATAAAAAAAACACAACACGTAAATGTGAGTGCAGACGAGGACGACCAAACACACAAGCTGACTCACCGCCGTCTGTAGATCTGCAACAGTAGGAAGCAGGACGGAGGATTTCTCAGAAAAATAAAAATACAGAATCACATAATGAAGGAGAACCGAGTGATTAATGGCACTGCATTTATTTCACATGGGAGCAGAATTTTCTTCTTGCATGTCAGGACTCATCAAGTAATTGGCGAAAACAGTCATGTGAGTTCACACTGCCTTTCCTTTTTTATAAAAGGCTGATAAAATAAACCAAATCATGACGTACAGGATTCAACCTAAACAAGTCACACGAGCTGCATGGCTGGTTTCAAACCAGTGGACACTGTAAGGTCAAAGGCAGAATTTAGTGGGTGAATCT